CCTTTTTTGGTACTTAGGTTAAGTTCATATTTTAACTCATTTATTTTTCCCAATAGTTCAGTTTCCACTTGGGTTTTTTCTTCCTGCAAATCTGTCAAAGTCTGTTGTAAGTAGTTTATCGTCTGTTCCTGTTGAAAACAAACATTTTTGGTTTGCTCTAGTTGCTGGGTTAACTCTTCTCTTTCTTGTAATTCTTGTGCCAATATGCTTTTAGCCTTAGCCAGTTTTAGTCTTTCTTCAAATTCGCTTCCTCAAAACTTAATGTCGACAATTCCCTCTTCATTAGCAAATAAGTTAAAAATTTCACTTACTTTAGCATCACTTCTAAGATACGAAGAACAATCGAAAGTCTCAATATTATTTGGTAAATGCTCTAACCCACTATCAATATCAGTGTTACAAATTCTTAGGAATCTTAATTTTTTTAAATTTTTCAAAGGCTCTAAACTACCATAAAAGCGATTATAAATACCTTGCTGAATTTTTTCTTTTTCAATCATTCCTCTATTTCAATTTCCTAAATTAAGCCTTTCTAATTTTGAGTAGCCAAAATGGGATAAAAAATTTAAATCTTGTTCAGCAAAATCATTATTACTAATGTCTAATTTTTCTAATTCATGGCATAAATAAGGTAATTTAATACTTTTAAGTAGATTACCAGAACAATTTATTTCTTTTAATTTAGAGCAAATTCTTAAACTCAGAAAAGTGAGTGGATTGGCTTGACACTCTAGAAAAGAAATACTATTAGGAAGATGTAAATTAACTAACTTAGTATTATTAATACAAATAACTTTTTTTAACTTGGTGCATTTGCTAATATCTATTTCTGTTAGCAGATGATTATTTAAACATCTAAATTCTTCTAAGTTAACAAATCCATCAACATCTCCTACCGCCAGAGTTCCCTTGAGATTTTTACCATCAATGTTTATTTTTTTGACATTAGTCCTTTCTTGCAAAGGATATTCTTTTTCCAATCATTTATGGTTGATATATTCTCCTTTTCACTTCTCGATGCTTTCATAATCGACTTCATCTTCATTTCAAGATGCCCCTCTCATTCTGTAAGTTCTCTTTTGTAAGTAATAAGCAAGTTCAGTATCTTTAGGTTGCAAGCCTATATCAATTCACCATTCTGTTTGTTTATAACTAAACCCTCTATTTTCTCATTCTTTTTGCAATTCCGGAGTAAAACCCAAATGAATTTCTTGTCAGTTTACCATATTATTTTTGTTATGTTATATTTATTTAGTTAAATTTACAATCACTACACGGAACTTAATCCCTTTTTGTACAACAAATCAGGTAGTGATTTACTTAGTTAGTTATTCTAATTTGCTATCTCACATCTCACTATTTTTGACCATAAATTAATTATTTATTCTGATTTTTATACTATCATATAGGAACTTTTTCCTAAAAAGGAAACTAGCGTCTATATATTTATTTAACAAATAAATCCACACTTAACCCTCAAAAAACCCCTCATATGGACGACCTGACGGACCTGTTTGCGGATAGTTCTAGTTCTGGTAAATTAGCCAATTTTGCCCTCACTGACTTCGGCCCCAACATCCAAAAAGCCAAAATCTCATTTGGTAATGTCCCTCTTGGAAAAGGAACTTTATAATTTAGTCGTAATAGATACTTTTTTAGGGGGTAAAATCAATGCACTCAACACTATGCTCACTCGCGAGAAAAAAGGATTAATTCTATGAAAAGAATTAAAAAAGGAGAAAAGTAGGAAATAGATATTTTTCCTAAAAAATATTTATAACTCCAATCATCCTTTCACTTTCGGCAAACCTTTTCCGGTCAATGGTTCTAATTTGGTCGACGAGAATTACACCACTGCGGCCTTTTAGTTCACTGTATACTTGAAAGGGGTAAATCTTGTCTACTTGGCTGGTTAAAGGTATGATTGTGATTAATGGACTGAACTTGTTTTGCTCGTCATTAGAGATTACTAGTCCAGGGTGTCGGCCTTGGAGTTCGCGAATATTTTCTTTTCCTGTTTTACTTGAAAGCAAGTTTACTCAGTAAATTTCTCCACGGAGAATGCTATTTTTTAGTGCCTGATTTCTTAACAACATTTTTATTCTTTTTGTAAGTTATTCAATCCTCAATTTCGGCTTTTTCTCATTGTTTCGCTAATTCTAATAAGTGGGGGTTGTTGGTGTAGCATTCTTTATAGGCATTTCCTAGACAACTTGTTTTTTCAGCAAGTTTTTCCTCCAATATTTCCTTAATAAAAGTGCTGATTTTGCCCTTACCAGCCTCATTTACTACTCTTTGATATAAACTAATTGGTAAATTAATGCTAAATGTGTATCGTGGTTCTGTTCTCATAATATTTATTTACGCTTTACGTTTCAACGCGGTATATATATAAAATTTAATTAAGATGACCTACTGAAAAAATCACCAAACTGATTTTAATATAATTTTTTAGTTTAAGAATTATAATTTTGCTGGGCAAAAATGGTGAAGGTGTTGGTTAGTTAGTAGTTAACTAAATGGTTAATTGTTTGAGGATTTTTTTTGGGTCTTTTAGTTAGTTAACTATATAAATAACATTTTACTTTTTAGTAGGATACTAAAATATACTTATGGATGAAATACGGAGTATTGCCGGAGGCCAAAAAGTCCTTTCTAAATATCACCGCCAAGATGAATTCCTAATGAACTCAGGCAAAAAGATCTTTATTGAGGTAAGGTTAGTGAGATTATTAACCAGCAAGCCGGAATTTCCGCAAGGCTATTATTTTAAGTGGCTAGCCCTTAATCGGGATAATCCTAGCGAACGAGTGTTATTTGATAACCATTATGGCAAAGGACCGCATTATCATGAAAATAGTCATGAAGTCTTTTTTACCTGAATATCCCGTAAGCATACTCAACAAATGTTTTACCAAAAAATTATTAAGAAGTTTGGTAATTTTAGACAAAAATTAAGTTAATATGAAAAATAGATTATAATATTTTCGAATAAATGTAAATATGAATAAGCAATTAAAAAGTGAAGTTTTTATCTTCCGTTATGACCCGTATAGTTCTTTTGAAAATATGTTCGAAGAATTTTGAACTGCCGTAGACGGAAAAATTGAGTCAGTGGAACCTCATATAGTTCGCTCTAATAGTATTGAAGCCTTTTCAACTAATATGACTAAAAATCGTTTATTAATATTTGCGACCTTGGTGGAAAAAAAGCCCACCAATTTAACCGAATTAGCTCATTTATTACAAAAAGATTATGCCTTGGTGCGACGAGAGACCCGCATTTTAGAAGGGATGGGGCTTATTAAATTAGAAAAAGTTAGTAAGGAAACTCCTAACCAGCAAGGCAGCAAAATTAAATTTAGCGAGATTAAACCAATTGCTCTTTATAAACGAATTATTTTTGATTTTCCTATTTTGAAAGGAGTTCCGGTAGAAAAAACTGCCATTGATAGCCGACTAGTGGTTTAATATTTTATAAAAGTTAGAAAGAAATCTTTTTTTAGTTAGTAACTAACTAACTGAATATTAATTTTACTAATCTTGCTGGTGGCAAAGTCTAATTCATAAGTGGTCGGTGGCTCCGTCCTTAAATCAAAAAACCAATTTATAATTTTTGTTGCCAAAAGGGATTCTCTCTCTAAGAAAAACCTTTCTCTTGCCTTGGTAGTCGGTGGGGAAAAATCTCTTATTATTTACTTCGGCTTGCAGAATGTTCAAAATTAATTCCTTGGTAATCTTTTAAGAAGAGAACAATTAAAAATTGTTTCTTTCTCGGCCTTTTTTCTTTCAAGTATGGTCGGTGATAGTGATTTCGTTAATTGTTCTTCCATTGAAAGTAAATTTGCTCCCTATTGAATAAGTTCATCATCTTTCTTGGTATTTTTCGCCAAATTCCTCCTTTTCTAATTTAAACCGTATCAGCATGAGTGCCAACTTTTTTTTCGTTAATAACTACTTCAATTTCCCTCGGAGAAAATAAACGATTAGCATAAGTAATTAGGCGATCAAAAGTAAAACAGTCGAGGTGATAATGAAAAATGTCTTTGGTTTCGGCCGTAGTTAATTTAATTCTTTCAGCTACTTCCGTAATTGATAAATTATTATCTTGCTGATAAGCCAAAATTTTCTCACAAAGTTTATATTTGGCTTTTTCTAAAGGTGTAGCATTAACTGGCAGGGCTTGAGAAATATCTGGTCCATCATAATCAGGCTTTTAGATTTCTTGGAGATACTTTTTGAAGTCTTTAGTTTGGTTGTTTTTATTTGGTTTCATAATTCTTATTAATTTGATTTTACATAATTTTTTAATATAGTTTTTATATTTGCTAAAAATTATTTTCACTTCTAACGGAATATGCAAACTGTCTCTATATAAGAGGTTAATTCAGGAATAATAATGGAGAAATTTATTCATCTCCTTAGTCCAACTCCAAAACTATTTTCAAAGTGATTTTTACTTGTAGCACTAATTGTGGACTGACTTTTCCTAAGTATTCTAATATCCGAGGTTTGCTCTTATAAATTGCTCTAATGCGGTGTAACAATATTCTACTTTCTTTTTTTAAACCAGTTCCAGGCGAGGGAGAAATAGGCATCGCCAGAACTGAAAATAACTTAAGTTCTTCAGCGGTTAATTCTTCCTCTGCACTATGGGAGCCACTAATATTTGTTTATCATATTCATTTTGGAGATTACTGCTAACCACCATGACCGGACGGATTTTAAAAATTTCTTTCTCTCTTTTGCGGTTAAAATCTACTAAATAGATTTCTCCTTTGCGGGGAAAACCATGAGGGAAAAAGGAGGAGTTTACTCCGAGTTTTCTTAACAATATTTTTTTACTCATTATTCTAATCCATCACTAATGGCTTCTTCTCAAATTTCATCTTCTTGGGCTAATCTTTTACTTTTAGCACTGACTTTGTAAGCCGATGCCAACTGCTCTTTTAATTTTAATTTATTAACTACTATATTAGTTTCTGGCTGGTAAGTCTCGTAAATAATTCTTTGTTGGTCTAAATATTTTTTAACAGGTTGAATGTTCTCTAATTTAAAAACATGGGGGGCGATTTTTTCTCCTTGGGATTTTTTCAAAAGAGAACGCAAGGCAGCATAATTTTTAGGTTCCATGGCTGAACGAATATAGATTAATTTCATAATATAGTATTTTTAGTACATAGAGGGTATGTATTTGTGTGCTGTGCTGTGGTGAGATGGAAGATACTAGTCTTATTTTCAAATCAAAAGATTATTTTATACTTCTTATCTCCTGATAATCAATTCTTTCTCGCTTAAAAACTTTTCTCTTGGGATAATTGGTTGGTTTGATTCTTCCCTTACCATTTAATCTTTCTTTAAAAATATTCAAAATTAATGACAACTTTTTAAATGTTTAACTAATTCTGAAATATCCTTTTTGTCTATTTCATTATGAGCATCACTAACCTTTTTACACTTATTACATTTAGTTCCTTTATCACCAGTAGAAGAAGAAAAAGAATTAAAGTTGTTGTTAACTCATTTAATTAGGCAACTATCATTACAAAAATATTCTTCCTTGATTGGATTTTGGCATTGTAGGCATTTTTGCTCTCTCTCTCTCTCTCTCTCTCTGCTTTAAATACAATTCTTACAAGGAGAGAGATGACCGCCCTGCCCTCAATTTTCACCATCTCAGACTCACATTGGGGCAGTTACATCACCGCATTCACATTTAACTATTGCATTGGGGTCATAATTTTTAGGTTTTTTTAACTCTGAATAACATTTATCAACTGTGCAAGCAATCATCCCAAGTTTATCTGGGCTTCTACAACAACTAGAAGTTAACCCCTTTTGACAATAAGAACATCTTAAACAGTTTACGCAGTAGTAGTCATTACCTAAACGGAGTGAAGTTACTAGGCTTACTTAAATCTGCTTTGCATTTGATACAGTAGTTCATATATTTTCATATCCACACCATAACCATATCAACTTCTATGCTTAGTTTAATAGTTTAAAATTTATTAATATAGAGTAGATAAGCAATTTAGTAATAAATAGCGGAAATAAAAAGCAAAAAATATGGTAGCAAAAAAACTAGTTGGATATAAAGCAAAAGGCAAATTAAACAAAAAAGAATTGTCACTAGTAGTTCAACAAAAAAGAGAATTAGACATAGACAAAATGAAAACTGCTGAGAAAGTAGAAAGCGTTTTAGAAAGTAACAAAAGAGGAGA